GCCTGCACCCTCTCCAATCTGGGACCCCTCAGGGGATGTCCAACTGCCGGTTCAGGCCCGATCGGGCCTGAACCGGCAGTCGGACATCCCTCTCGCAATCCAGGACCGCTGGCTCCTAACCGCTTACCTGCCTGCCTGTGCGATCTTCCCTAACCACTCTGCCTGCCAGCCTACTTGCCCCTAACTCCCCGCCCTGCCGGTCTTCTCACCCCCAACTGCCACCCCCCTCCCCCACTGGCCTGATTGCTCCCAACTGCCCTCCCCTGCTGGCCTCATGGCTCCCAACTGCCCTCCCCGGCTGACCTCATGGCCCCCAACTGCCCTCCCCGGCCGGCCTCATGGCTCCCAACTGCCCTCCTTGGCCAGTCTCCCAGTCTAATTAGCATATTACCCTTTTATTAGTATAGATTTCTTGTCACAATTAGACTTTCTGTAGATGTGTGGCAGTACCTCACTGTCACTTTTATTTGCATTTCTCTAATGACTAAGAATGTTGAATTGAGAACCTTTTCATGTGCTTATTTTTCTTCCCTGTCTTCTTTGGTGAAATGTCTTTGCCCATTTTTAATTGTGTTTTTTCTTATTATTATTGACTTTTGAGTATTAGTTACAAATCTTGGATGTCTTTATTCTATATGTGTTTTGCAAATATTTTATCCCCTTTTCAGCTTGTCTTTTTCTTATCCTATAAATGGCTTTTTGAAGAGAAGTTTTTAGCTACGATTAAATCCAACCTATCAATTTGTTATTTTATAGATTAAGCCTTTGGTGTCATACCTAAGAAATCTTTGCCTAAAGAACAAAGACTTGTTTTATATGTTTTGTTTTAGAAGAATAATTTCAGGTTTTACTGATCAGTTAGTTTTCTTTTATTTAAAATTACAAGCTTGTGAAAAAGAAATCAGGACCAAAGTCATTTTTGCTATCTTTTGAAAAGGTAATAGTAAAAAATGGATTTGTTGTTGTTGTTGTTAATCCTCACCCAAGAATATTTTTCCATTGATTTTTAGAGAGAGTGGAAGAGAGAGGGAAAGACAGAGAGAAACATCGATGTGAGAGAAACACATCGGTCAGTTGCCTCCTGCACACGCCCCAATGAGGTCCTGGGCTGAGGAGGAGCCTGCAACCAAGGTACATGCCCTTGACCGGAATCAAACTCTGGGCCCTTTGGTCTGCAGGCCAACACTCTATCCTCTGAAGCGAACCGGGTAGTGCAAAAATGGATATTAATGTAAAGAATCAACAGAATCACCTCATACTGGCTCAGGAGAGCAAAAATAGTCTAAGGAAGAGTTCCAAAGAACTAAGCTTCCTGAAAATTGTGAATCTAGATGTGACTATCAAAATATTTGCTTAAAAGGCTATGTGCAAAGACTTTCATAGAGAGCTAAAAATAAGTCAGTGAATCCTCTCAGTGTTAAACTGACATCCACAAAGGATTAAGTGTGGTTAAAGTATATGGTTCAAGCAACTCCACAGTGAAAATAAGGACCCACAGAAATACAGAGTTGAAAGGAACTTTAGAATTCTTGTTTTTAAATTTTGTTTAGCAGTTTAACTCCCTTTTAAGGTAAATAACTGAATTGATAAAAACAAATACTTTGAAACTGAGACTGAGCCTTACCAAATCCAAGAAGGAGGCTGTGGTTGAAAATGTCCTTTAAAGTTTCCAATTAGAAGATAAGTTAACACAGTGGTCGGCAAACTCATTAGTCAACAGAGCCAAATATCAACAGTACAATGATTGAAATTTCTTTTGAGAGCCAAATTTTTAAAACTTAAACTATATAGGTAGGTACATTGTTATTAACTTAATTAGAGTACTCCTAAGGCTTAGGAAGAGCTATACAGAAGGGGCCAAAGAGCCGCAGTTTGCTGACCACAGGCCTAGGTGAAGGGAGATTCTCCCATCCACTCGTCTTGCATACTTGTTTCAGATAGACGAGTGTGGATGGGAGAGTTGGAAGGGGTCGACCTCAACGAATGTACCTCAAAACAATGTACCTCCCCCCGCGCTGCCTATCCCGCGGCCTGCCTTCGCTGCGTCTGCCGCGTCTCCTGTCTCCCGACCGACCGACCGACACCCCCCACTTCTTCTAACACCACTCCTTCAAAATAGACTCGCCCAGGCCGAAAACCGACTTCTGCACATGGGCCACGAAGTTTCAATTGCACTGTAAATGTGCGCCCGCATGTGGTATTTTGTGGAAGAGCCACACTCAAGGGGCCAAAGAGCCGCATGTGGCTCGCGAGCCGTGGTTTGCCAACCACTGAGTTAACACATTAAATGTTACTTTGTGTAGGCACTTTGTGTAGGCAATAAATATGTGAACCAGGGACCTCTTGCCCAGTGCTGAAGAATAGGAATGTATGAAGAGCCTTGGAAACTATCAACATTTTAGGGTGGGTAGAAAAAAGGAACTAGCAAAGACATTTGGAAGTGTAGTCTGTGAGATGGGAGCAGAGCACAATGTATATGGATCAGCTGACATGCACCTGAGCTCCTTTCTATTTTCCAACCTATTGCAGTGACTTGAATGGAGGGATTGTGAGAAGCCCTGGAAAGTAGATGATGCCCGAAGTGGAGAGAACAGTGAATGTTTGAGTCAGATCACTACCCTAGAAGCATTTCAACATGAAATATACCTTTTCCCAAGTCCTAATCTCCTCTGGAGCAGCACAAATGAGCATCTAGGCTTTTTTCCCTTTCATTCAGGTAGACATTATTAGCCAAGGCAACTTATAGCCCTAAGGAACAAATAAGAGTACAAAGGGAAAACTTATCTGAGGAGCAAGATAACCATTAAAGTAAAGCAATCATAGAACTACGATCAAACTAGTGGATATACTTAATAAAGAACTTCAGGGAAAGAAGGAAGAATGTTGGAAACCCAGCACTAACAAGTATTTGTGAGTTGGATATTGGGTATGACCAATATTAATGAGATACCTCAATGGATCAGTTGAAATCAGAACAATATAGCTGGAGAGTTAATTCATATGCTGAAAGATCAATTCCAGGAAGAATTTGTGAAATGGAAAGTTAAGAAATAAGGAAGGTAAAAGTATAAATATTTTTCTAATGGAGATCCCAGAATTTTTTTAAAAAGAGAAAGTAATAAAAGGTGAAGGAATTATTACTGAGAATTTCCCAGAAATTCCAGAATACATAAAATACCTGAAATTGTGCAATTCAAGGTTACATATTTCTGTAAAACTTTTTTCTTCCACACTTACTTTTTTTTTTTTCCTTTCTGTATAAAATGTTTATTTTTGGAGGACTGTGTGGTCTGGTGTTTGGGAGGGCACTCACCCCACCAGGCCATCCATGGAGCTGGAAACAGAAGGCAGGGCGCGGAAAGTTGGCCGCTGCTTGCCCCACCCCTTCACACCCGAGTAGACTGTGGCCTGCTCTGCTCTCAAACTAGTGTTGTTTCTGCCCCTGGCACATCCTGAGAACCCATGTGACTTCTGTGGCGACCAGCCCCTCTGCTCCTCCAGGGCCTGATCCACTTGTCAGCGCGCATACTTGTTCGCATAGCCTAGCTGCATCTGCCAGTTCAAAAGGAATTTTTCACTTTTGCTCTCTTCCAGTTCTTAGGTCTTCCTTCCTGTCTCCCACACCCAGTACCCCTACCCTAGTGCTGCCTTACTCTCTTCTCTGGCCTCAGCTCTCCTCCTAACAAATGGAGAAAAACCCTGTAAGGCATCATCATGAGGGCTCCCCCATCAAGGGCTGAGCCCAGGAATTGGGGAACAGACCTGTCTCTTACCAACACACCCACATACACACAGAGCAAAGAATCAAACAAACAGACCAAAAAGCATAAATAAACATAACTGGGCCAGCAAGAAAGGTAGGGTGACCCTCAGCGGCTCCCTGCACCCATTTCAGCTTCTCCCAGTGCAACTCAGCCATCAGTGGCTAGGATGACAGCGGCCCCAAAGATGCCCACACTCTCTCCAAGGAGCTTCATCTGGTTCCAGAACTCAACACGCCGTGTGTTGTGCCAGTAGGCAACATTGCCGTCAATGAGCAGCATGACCGGGGGTAGCAGTACAGTCAGGATCTGGGCAGCCAGGGTCACGTAGTAGCCAGACAGGAAGGCGAGGGCCAGGATGCCATACAGTAGGAAGAACAGCTGGACCATGAGCTCCCCTCCAGGTAGATGGTTCAGATATGCCAGCCAGTCCTCCTTGCTGTGCTGCAGTGAGTAGGCCACACAGATGAGGTAGATGCCCAGGAAGACCTGGCCCGTGGACTGGAGGGAACGGCTGCGGGGTTTCCGACGGTAGAGCTCCCCAGCACCGCTAGCCAGCACAAGGAATGCGCCAATGATGGCAACTGTGCGTGAGTACATACGGACCTTCAGCCAGTCCCCGTAGTGGACGTAGCCCCCGACGTAGGCGGCCCCCAGCGCGAACCAGCGCCGCTTCACCCCGAAGGACATGAAGCTGGCGCACAGCACGGCCGCCCCCATGTCGAAGTACAGGTAGGGCACTGGTATGTCGGGCTTCCGGCGCGCCTCGGCCCTCTCGGCGTACAGCATGAGCTGACTGAAGCAGCCCCAGAAGGGGCAGCGTGTGAGCAACACCGAGCCCAACTGCATGAGCAGCTGCAGTAGCCACCGTCGCGAACCCACCTTCGACACCATCTTGGGGAAGGGCAGTCCGCCGCGGCCTCAACCGGGTCTGGGAGGCCGGCGCGAGGGTGCGACACGCCACTTCCACACTTACTTGTTTCATGGAATGGTCCACACAATAATAGGAGCCTCCAGTAACATACAACCTCACATGTAGTGTTAAGGACCTTGTAACAGTTAATTCCCAATTTTTCTTCCATTCATTGTGCTGTTATTGTCATACATTTCACTTTTACATATGCTATAAACATATGAGACCTTGCATTACTTTTGCTTTTGACAGTGAATAAAAAGCAAGACCGGAACCCGGTCTTGGTGTGCTCTTCAGGAAAGAGGTGTCCACCTGGGCCCTCATGCCTTCCAAAATTCCTATTTCTTGTATAGCGTTTTCTTTCTGTTTGTTTTTTTTATCACAAAAACAATATGTAATTATTATGTGTTTTTCCGATGGTCTTAGGAGACCCCTGTGAAAGGGTCGTTCGACCCCCAAAGGGGTCGCGACCCACAGGTTGAGAACTGCTGGTGTAGGAGTTTCCTCAGACTTCACTGATTCAAGGACCCAAGTCAGGTGCTCCCCTCCGATTCTCTGCACAGACGCCAGGACAGGTGCTCCACCAACATTTAATCTGTCGGAACCCTGCATCCAAGCTCATCCGCAGCTTGGCCATCCACGGCAGCAGGCCACCACCAATTCTCTCCCAAGGCCCTTCTTCCCAAGTCCCAATCAGTGGGAGGCCCAGCAACCGGTGCTGGGGGCAGCCCGGAGGACAAGGGCTGAGTCACAGGGAGGAAGGGAGGCAGGAGGGCTTCGGGGGACAGGTGAGCTCTTTGGAACTGTCTGGAGCTGGAGAAGGACAGAGAGGCCACCTCAGAAGCATCCAGGCTGGACCTGAAGGCCCTGCGTGTTGAGCTGTAGCAGCGGCAGTGGGCAGCCAGCTGAGCCCAGTCGGCCATGAGAGACCCAAGGAGAGCTCAGACCCACCTTCTTGGGCCCCAACTACCCTGGTGCCCGAGGAAAAAAGTCAGGAGGACCGGCTCCTGGATTCTGCTCATCAGAAGGAACCCTGAGTCTTCGGAGGCCAGCCTCCAAGGCCCCAGCCCCTGGCTGAGTCCCGACGTGCGGGGTGGGCCGGCCTTTGGTTCAGGCTTCACCCGGTGAAACAGCAGGACATCGCGTTCCTGGGCAGAGGCAGTGTTCGCTCACTGACCTCGGGGCTCAGATGCTGGTCACACATGTGATCCTGGGGCTCAGACGCTGGTCACATACGTGATTTCTTCGGTGCACGGCCGTTCTCCTAACTGCCTGTGTCCTCCCTGCTGAGGGCCCACAGCGGGGCCGGCTCCAGGACGGCTGCTTCCGCCTCGGCCGGCCTGCCCTGCCTCTCCTTCTTCTGAAGCGCACAGAAGCTGCCACCCATGAAGAGGGCAGCAGAGATGAGGAAGAAGCTTGACATGTAGAAAACATAGCTGAAGTTGCTGTCAGTGTTGTCCAGGACAAACCCAGCCATTGGCGGGGAGATGAGGATGGAGATGCTCTCCAGGATGGTGCAGAGGCCCAGGACCCTGGAGAACCGGTCCATTAGGACCACGTCCATGAGGACCTGGAAGAAGAGGGCGCCAACCATGCTCATGGACACGCTGTACACCAGGCAGTAGCCCACCAGCACTTGGAAGTTGGCCGACACCGTGCACACCAGGGTGGTGAGCCCGTTGAGCAGAACTGCGAGGCTGAAGAAGTACTTGCGATATCTGGCGAAGTTCTGGCGGCCGGCCACCAGCCCGGCCATGGGCCGCAGGAAGATGTTGCTAAAGCCGATGATGGAGATGAGCAGGGCAGCCTTGTGCTCGTCGACCCCGTGCTGCATGGCGAATGGCACCAGGAAGACTTGTGGCAGCGGGAAACTGAGGATCACCCACGTGACGCCCAGCGTGAACACTCGGTAGCCTGCGTTGTGCCACAGGATGTCTAAGGCCAGGTGGCGCAGGATGGCCTGGCCACATGCTGCCAGGCAGCCGGGCGTCGGTGTCTTGGAGGGCACAGAAGGGCCTTCTCTGGGTGCAGGGGCCATGCTGGGGGCCATGGGCCTCAGGATGGCCCCGCAGATGCAGCAGTGGAGGAAAACCCCACCGAAGACCAGGAAGGTGCCCCTCCAGCCCAGGTCCTCCAGGAGGTGGCGGCCAGCAGCGGCCAGAGTGTGATGCCCAGGGAGAAGCCCACCGAAGCCAGAGCGTTGGCCAGTGCCCGCCGGCGGGTGAAATAGAAGCCCAATACGGTGATGGTCGACTGGAAACTGAAGCACAAGCCCAGGTCTGTAAAGAAGCCTGCTGCGAGGTAGAGCTGGCCGAGGGTGCGGCAGAAGGAGCTGGCCACCATGCCCAGGCTGGCCAGCACGCCCCCCAGCATCACTGTGGCTCGGCAGCCGAAGCATCCCACCAGGATGCTGCACAGGGGTCCCCCTGCGTGGAGCATGGCCGTCAGGATAGAGGGGAACCAGGAGGTCTCACTGTTGCTGGCCTGGAACTCCCGCTGTAGCTCAGTGAAGAAGATGCTGATGCACGTGGGGAAGCCCAGGGTGAGGCCCTGGGCCACCACGGCGGCCAGCAGGACCACCCAGGCCCAGCAGCCCTCAGCGCGCTCCAGGGCCTGGGGCATCCTCTGCTGGGAACGCTGCCACGGCCTCGCTGCCACTGCTACCAAGGCTGACCTGGCTTCCTGGCAGGCAGGTCCATTCCAGAAGACGAGAGCAGCGCAGAGACGCGATGGGGCTGGGGGCTCTGGCTTCGCCTCTGCCCCAGCGGAGAAGTGGTCTCTCCTTTGTACTGGGAACCATGAGTCACATCACTGCCGGCTGGCTCGCAGGGGCCCAGCTACCGGCAGCTCCACTCCTGGCGCACGGCTCTTGTATAGCATTTTCATTTGTGTCTTGGCCTCTGCTTCAGATCCTGAACCTTGCCATGTAGGTCGCGGCAACTGGCGTCTGAAACAGAGACCTGGGGAGGAGATTCGCCTAAGTGAAAAACGAAGTGAAAAAGGAAAAGTGAAAACTCTTCGGCACACAAAGCCCGTGCCAGTTTTGGATTCGAGACCATAAGTGGACAGGACGTTTCTGAAATCAGCCAAGTTATAATGGGGAAGAATTCGAAAAGGCAAAAACATTTTTGTAGACTTTTAGCTTGCATGCTCAAGGATAAAGGAATTAAAGTGTCAGAAAGTATTCTCTTACAGTTTTTGCATATTATCATAGAGTACAATCCTTGTTCCCTGATGCTAGAACATTAGACCTTGATCTCTGGAAACAAGTAAGTAGGAATTTAAGGAGAAATCAGGCTCAAGGAAAACAAGTGCCCTTGTCATCTTAACAATGTGGGCTCTTGTTCGAGCTGTATATTGCCCACTTCATATTGAGGATCAAAAGCCTACAAAACACCAGGAGGATTTGCCACCGCCCCCTCCTCCTCCTCCTAAAGTAGAGCCTGTAAAGCCTGTAATACCTAAGGCCCCCGATCCTCTGCCTCTAGTGTGGGAAGGCTCATCAACTAGAGAAAAAGGGGCTAAAAGTCCTTTTACAAAAGGGTTCCTTAATGTTTTGTCTGAAAATTATCATATGACACCTTGGGACTGGCAGATTTTAGCTAAAATGACTTTAGACGTCAGTCAATGCTATGGAGAGCAGAATATGATGGAATCTGTGAACAATAGGCTGCTTGTGGGTGTTCACTGGGAGCCCTCTGGGCTGCACTCTGGCTGTAAGTCCCAGACACTTTAAAACATCTGAAAGATCCATGAAAAGAACTCTGATTTATTAAGTCTTGTCTATGTGTTATGCACGCTTGTCTGTTGATTGTTGTTTTATCTGTCTTTGTTGTTTGGTTTAATTTGTTTATTGTTAGTCTATTAAGCATGCCTTTGATTTATCTTCATAGAAAATAAACAGTTGGTGGCCAGGCAATTACTGAATTTCCCCAGAGCAAACAGTGTGTGGGGGTGGGGAAAAAGAGAATATGAGCAGTACATATAGCCGATAACACAGGTCCTAGAAAAATTCCCATAGACAAAGGGGGGTAACTAAAAAAGGCCCCAGCCCATTTACTGTAATGGACACCCACTCTCAGGAGTGTTATTAAAAGTCTCATTTCACCATGCTTTTGTTTCCCAGTCCGTCATTTGAAATCCTGCCAAATACCCTAAACCCTTGTTCCTTTATGGACCATACAGGTAAGCCACCAATCAGTGTGCGCCTAGTACACTAAGCCCCCACCCCTTCCCATTCCGCCCCTCAAAAGGAGTGCTCACCCCTGCACGTGCTGCTGTCCTCCCCTTTCGAGACAGCCTGGCAGGTTCTTCTCCTCTAATAAAGCCTGTAGTCCTGGTTTTCGGCCTCTGTCTGATTTTTCATTTTTGGTGCCAAAACCCAGGAGAGGTGAACAGGAACGTGGACGATCCTTGAACCTAGCCCTGAGCTTCTGACTCCTGCTCTGGCTCTGCTTGGTGGTATGGTTCTGAGTTGATTGGCCCTCTCCGGACCCCCTCTCGAACCTGCCACACCAGGACACGTGGGGATCTCATCGCTTCCCTTCCACTGGTAGGCTTCAGGGACTTTCCCACCCAACCCCCTACTTTTTTTCTCTCGCTCCCTGTGACCTGGAGGGGCATCAGGGCATACAGAGTTTCCTATCTACTCAGCTACACGTTCTACATTCTACGAAAGCCCAGGTACCTGGCCAGGAATTCTCTTCTACTCCACGGGAAAGGTCTCGGGGTGACGACCTTGGAACCTTTTCTCGTCTCTCTCTTGCTACAGGTTGACTGAGGGAACAGGAGGACGCTCCTTGTTCCTTCCCCAACTTCTGCTTGCCCTTCCCTCCGGTCATGGGGACCTTCCAGTCCAAACCCCCTCGAAACACACCGTTAGGGTGTCTCCTCGCCAATCTCTCGACCCTTGGTCTTTCTGGCTACATCAAACCAAAGAAGCTCGTTTTTTTCTGTAACACTGCCTGGCCACAATATAAACTCGACAATGGCTCTCAGTGGCCCAAAAATGGCACTTTCAATTCCA